TGTTGATTTTTGCCATTGATTTTTGGCTGTTTTTCACCTTCTGGAGGCTTCAGGGGAGCCCGCTGAAGCCTGCGGAGGGAGAAAAACAGTCCAGTGGGCAACCTGGAAGTCTATTCCAAAACTTCCGGTTTCCATGTTGTGGTGTTTTTCACTCTCACCAGGCTCCTAGAAAGCCTCTGGAGCCTGAGGAGGGTGAATAATGTGTGCATGTGCAGGGGGCATGGCACAGGCAGGCATTAAATTATGGGGGTGGGCAAGCATGTGTAATAGCGCATACACATGCTTTTGGCACCTGAAGTGAAGAAGGTTTGCCATCACTGCTATATGCTCTTTCAGAGATCCTGCTCAGAATAACACTACTTCTGGGCAGACATTTCTCGTTTGTGCTGTTCTTCACCCACTCTTTGACATTGATTTTTTTCATTTCTTTCACAAAAATCTTGAAATCATTAATTGTCTTTGTACCACCCCAAAATACCACCCTGATAATATATACTCACTGCATTCTTGGTTTCTAAAGTGACCATCTGAAAAGTGTGCTTTATTGATTGGAACACAATTTTCTGTGTGCAGAAATTATGTACTATTCACAGAAGAGAAGGGAAGCAATTTCATTCCTCTTTCAAGATTTGCTTTGGGGTAGAGACTTCTTAATACTGGAGGGGTCTAGGGAGCTGTAAGAATAAGAGAGACTAAGGCAAGCCCCATTTAGGAATGGACATTCCTTCAATTCATAATTATACAACTGTTTAATCTAATGATGTAAACATATAGAATTGTTTTAAATAAATGAATATTAAATAAGTATTTTGCGTTTTAAAAAAAATCTTTTTATACTTAGGTGCAATGCAAGTACTTTTCACACATGTGTGCACAACCTTAAAATGCATGGAAACTGTCTGGAAACTCGACATCAATACTTTAACTTTCTAAAATATGCAATTTAATTTTATCATTTTAAAGGAGCATATCCTGGTTGTTCCAGCACATAGCTACAGCTACACACTTCTTCATAAAGACAGTGTGATTCGTTCAACAGATTTCATCAGCCAGTGTGGTGGAAACAGTTTTCACATTGTGTAAGTCACAAAATATATATAAAAAGAAAAATGGATTATGGATTATACTAAAAGCATACTAAATAAACACATATTATAGAAATATAAATGAAAGTGGGCAAAACCTTTTAAATAGTGGAACTCAAATGTGCTTTCCTTCTATCCTTCTGTTTAACAGTCCTGGCAATTCCTCAGAATTTTGTCAAAATTCAGCTCGATCACTTGTGGCTGCTTTTAATGACGGGGCATTGCCATGCAATTGTCACAGAAAGGGTGCTACCAGCGCTACTTGCAACCCTGATGGGGGACAGTGTAACTGCAGACCACACGTCATTGGTCAAAAGTGTACCAGGTGTCAGACAGGTTACTATGGATTTCCATTCTGCAAACGTAAGTAGCCATTCCACATGGGAGAGGTTACCCACTTTTTGGAATGTTGCCCAAGAACCAAATATTTTATTTTGTTTTTGATTTCCTTCTCAATTTAAGGATTTTGCTCAGAGTTATTAATTGAAAACTTCCTGCTTTGTTTGGATGTAAAAACTAGTCAAGAAGGATGTTTGGATGTGGAAAATATATTCCTTCATATCTCAGCTTCTTAAACTGAGATGTGATCATCCAGATATTATCGAGTATTTGAGATTCATCTCTAATGTATTATTTCTTGCTCAGTTTTGCAGTTATTTACATAACATTGTAGGGGGAGCCATGTAATGATTACTATTGGTTGAGCATACGTATGCTCAGATCAATTTTTTCAAAGAATTTTGGAACAAGACGAAATAGGTTCTAGTGGATTTTTCCTCCAACAAGAGCAATGTATGTAATTCAAATATTCTTTGAATATGAAATAATTTGTATTCTTGTTCCCAGCTTGCAACTGTGGAAGGCGTCTTTGTGATGATATCACTGGGAAATGTATTTGTCCCCCACAAACTGTTAAGCCTAGATGTGAAGTGTGTGTAAGGTTGCACTTTGGATACCATCCACTTACTGGCTGTGAAAAGTGCAATTGCTCAAGTAAAGGCGTTATCAGTGCTATGAATTCTGAATGTAATAAAATTGATGGACAGTGCAGGTATGTAAGTATTTCTATGATGGAATGATTTGTTTGTTTGTTTTGTTTTACACAGTAGGGTGCGGTAGCTAAATTTTAGACTGCAGAAGTCACTAATTACTCTGAGTCAATCCCTTATTCTCAGGGACATGATTAATAGCTGATTCTATCTTTCATCTATGCAGCTAGGTATGTTTCTGTCTATACATACATTCACCCTAGCTCAGTGATTCTCAGTCTTAACATGTCTGGACTTTCAATGCCTGGAATCCTTCACCATGCTGGCTAGAGAATTCTGGGAGTTGATGTCCAGATATCTTAAACTAGCCAAGATTGAGAAACACTCCATTACCTGTATTCTTCTACTTACTGACAAAATATATGTGCTTTAACATATTGCTATAATCCTGTATAAAAAGAATTGGATGGCTCTTATCCTAAAGCTGACAGTGTTCCATAAGCAGTGACCTTTTTAAAATAGGATGCTCCATGATGACCCAATTACTTCAGATAAGTGAATTAGTATTCTGTACTAATTAGTAATTATTTATAATTATAGAAAAATTTACTCGGACAAGATTCTGTTTTAAACTGAACCGTTTGTTTATTGAATGTAATGAGTAATCTGTGAACATTGTGTTTTGAGGGTTACTGCTGTGTGTTTATCTTAAACTATCCTTGATTTCCAGAGCCGTTCTAGGATATATTTTTTTAGCCCATCAATATTCTTGATCATTTTGATTGTTTTATGGTTAAGCTGACAATTGATTTTCTCTGAGATAATGTATTTGGAAAGGATACAATACAATAGCAGAGTTGGAAGGGACCTTGGAGGTCTTCTAGTCCAACCCCCTGCCTAGGCAGGAAACCCTACACCACTTCAGACAAATGGCTANTCATATTGAACCCTATGGATTAGGAATGGGATGTCACTTACAGTAAGTTCATATGCGAGTAAAGGCAGGTAAGTGAATACTTTTGGCAGTATAGTGTATGTGTGTTCTGAGTGATTTAAATCAGTTTTCTTTGAAGATATTTGAAAGCTCACATAAACCAAATTCAGACAAAATTTTAGGCAATAGATTGAATTGGCACCCTGATTCAGTTCAAGATTCTGTGGGCATTTCTGCTAGGCTATGGGTGATCTGTCTGCCCTTATTTATAGTTACAAAAGTGACATATAAAATACATAGTGGCAGAAATATCCTATTTGGTCATAAATCCAGAACAAATTGTTTTAATCACTCTGGATATAAGCAGGGTCAAACTAAATAAAAGTATTAAAAAACCCAGCTACTCAGGTGGTGTGCTCTTCCTTAAAAAATTTTTTACTTATCATTGAACAAGTGTTTATGAAAACAAGCCCTACATCCCAGCAAATTAAACAATTTTCAGTTGCTGTATTTTTCTAGTATCCTTTGTTGTCACAAAGGATGCCGACATGTGTATGTCATGCTCACGATCTTCATAATTAATCCATATTTCTCTGTGCTTGCCATTATTAGATCTTTAGTGCTGACAGATGTTTCTTAAGGTGCTTTTAGGAAAAGTGGTTTTGGCAGACTTGCTTCTGGCTTTAATCATATGCCTTTAAGAACTACCATTTCCAGCTCCTATGTAGCAAACTATGCTATTTGACAGGGATTAGAACTTGAAATACCGGTGCTTTGTCTGAGAGGTTAATAGAATGTGAATGGTACATATACTGAACTTTGGTTGGATGAGTATTTCTCAATTTGATAACTTTAAGATGTGTGGATTTCAACTCCCAGAATTCCCTAGTCAGCTTGTTTGAGAAACATTAGACTAGATGAATTATACATCTTTAAAGCTGTAGATTATGAGTGCTATTAGGAGACAGGTACAGTTGACCGACATTTTGTACTGCTGATAACTTTTTTGAGCATTCATTTACTGGAAGATTTAAGTTGGTTGCCATGAAGTAGATCAAGTTTGCATTTGATGAACTTCATGGCTAAATTTAGGATTCTTTTTGCTTGAATGAAGGTACCATAAGCAGCAAACATTTTTGAATTTATTTACCTGAGAATAAAATAACTGTCTCCATGTTCTCGTCTAACTTGGTTTCTTCATTTTATTGTCCAACTCTGTTTCTTGCATCCCAACTGCCTACTTATTTCACACAACAGTCATATAGAAACAAACCAAGATTTTATCTGTAAGGAGAAACTAACTGAAGGTGCTGAGTTCAGATGTCACAGGAAACTCCAGCTTTAATAAGGCAAAATATGAGCTCCAAAGCTGGGTATAGCGGGAACATGGACACATGGTTTGTTCTGTTGTTCTAAATCACACTTCATTTATCTAGGATCATTGCATTAGAATCAGCCTGCAAATTCTCCAAGGAATGGTGTCCATGCTGGCAGATCATGTATGAAAATGTACTTGAGTCCTTTCCTTAGCCCCTTCTGTGGCTGACTGTCTAATTTGAATTAAGTAATGTTATTGTAAACGACACGGTGGTTCAGTGGCTAAGACACTAAGGTTGTTGATCAGAAAGGTCGGCAGTTCAGTGGTTCGAATACCTAGCACCACGTAATGGAGTGAGCTCTCATGACTTGTCCCAGCTTCTGCAACGTAGCTGTTCGAAAGCATGTAAAAATGCAAGTAGAAATATAGGAACCACTTTTGGTGGGAAGGTAACAGTGTTCCGTGCACCTTCAGCATTTATTCATACTGGCCACATGACCACAGAGACGTTTTTGGACAGTGCTGGCTCTTCGCCTTTGAAACGGAGATGAGCACTGCCTCCTAAAGTCAGGAACAACTAGCACATATGTGCTAGGAGAACCTTTATCTTTACCTAATGTTATTGTTGGATGAATAATACTCAATAAATTATTAATTTGATTGTTTTTCATCAGGGACTCATCAGAGCAAAGAGATCTTCTTCCCACTCAGTAGAGAGCCAACTTTTGTAACTGTTCCAGGGAAAGGTTTTGCAGATTCATTTTTATTGGGACCTGGAACTTGGATATTTAAAATCAGGGTAGAGGGCGTCCTTCTGGTAAGAAGAAGATCTATCACAATAATATTTATATTTTCGGAAACTAATTCTCTGCTAGAGTACTCCCAAACAAATAAAAGGGAAATGTCTATTCAGAAAATTAAATCTCACACTGGTGTAAAGAATGAGTCAGACACCTGCTTCAAGCACTAGTAGTAGAATCTGACTTATCCTTGAGATTCATCCCTATAAAGGCAGTAGGAATCTGATGGATATGTTGAATATAGAATTGTGCTTTTCAACCACAATTGCACATAGGATTATTTGGAAATTTGTTTCAATATGGGTAGACTACATATAGATTGATAACTGTTATGTGACATGTGAATTATATTATTAATCTTGAATGGACTTTAGCCTGAACCTTGCTTGCAAATCTTTATTATAACCGTCTCTAAATTGAGTATTCTCAGAGATGTGGACTTTTTATTCCCAGTTTCCCAGCCAACATCTCTGTTACTGAGAATTCTCGAAATTGAAGTTCACATCTCTGCAGAATGCACAGGCTGGAGAAATCTGGTTTATTAAGTAATTTTGTTGAAACGTTCATGTAAACATTAATGGCTATTAATATGCTTAAGCTGGTATTATTCTGTCACTTTAGGATTACCTCGTCCTCTTACCTCGTGACTACTATGAAGCATCCATCTTGCAATTTCCTGTTGTACAGCCTTGCACATATTCAGGATATGTCACAACAGATAAGTTAGTATCTCAGGAACATTAATGGATCTTTTATTATGAATCTCTAAAATTTATGATGATGATCCAGTTAAACACTTTCTGTTTTTTTTAATTTTTATTTTCAAGTTGTTTGCAGTATGAAAACTTGCCAGTGAACAAATATCGCTGTGTTTTTGGTACAGAGGTAACATTTTTCTTGCATGGGGGAGAATACCAAAAAACAACTTTCCAACAGCCAACAATCAAACATCCAGTGATGTCTCATATTAGTGGTCAGGAGGTAAGATATCCTTATAGAATGAAATTGGTTACATAGTGCCTACAGTATTTCCTGACAGTCTGTGTAATAGAACACACCAAAGAGGATATACAGTATATTGTGTAAAAATACTGTAGAGATAGTTCTTGCTTCCTCCAGTGTGTGTGTGTGTTTGTGTGTGTATGCGTGTGTGTGTGTGTGTGTGTGTGTGACAGGCAGTGGTGGATTCTTACTGGTTCAGACCAGTTTGGCCGAACCGGTAGTGGTTTGGCAGCCTGGGTCGCTGGAACTGTAAACCACTTAGAGAGGGCTGTAAAGCACTGTGAAGCTGTATATAAGTCTAAGTGCTATTGCTATATAACCATCCTCCTCAAAACAGGGCATGATAAAATGTAGCATCTCTGTCTCTTTCCTCTGAATGCTTAAGGGTTGTTACCCCTCCAAGGTAAATCAGATAGGAAACACAATTAGATGAACTAATTCTATTTTATTGTAAGGCTACATCAGCAGAATCTTGCAAGTCTAAACGTACAAACTTCCCACCACCACTTATAACTGCTTGATCAATTAGGGCGGGTCCTTCCTATGTTTCTTTTCCTGACTGTTAAGCCACGCAGGCTCCTGCATCTCTTGTCTGATTGTTTCCTAGGCAAAATCTCTTCCCCTTATTTCCCAAGGTCATCCACACATTCCATTACAATTGTATACCATTCTGATAGTGTACTTGTTTGCCTATATGTTTGTCACAGCATGTACCAGATTGATACATTTTTTGTTTTATTCATCTTCTTTCTGGATCCACATGTTCACTGGTCATTTTAAGGGGGTTTTGTGGCTGCTCTCCCAAAGCTATGGCCAACAATGAGCTTATTTTATGATTGCCATTGTAGATGTGAATAATTGTGAAATACTTTTTTACTAGAAGTCAGACTGATGTGGTAGACCTACCGCTACCTGTTTATGCGTCAGGATACTCCTACCACTCTGCCTCTCTTTCTCTGGGCAGGTTGGTGAACCAGTGGATGTAGCCATCTACCGTCTTTGATTTTATGACTCATGTAAGCCCTAGAGGCTTTCTGAAATACTGTATAAAAATGACACCGGATGCTAGAATTTTCTTTTACAGCACTGTACTAAAAATCTAATTTAAGAAAAAAAACAGGTAGGGTAGAGTGACTGGTTAATGCCACAAGAAATAACTGCAAGGACATAGACACCATCTTGGAAGCTAAATGTATAGGGCCATGATGGCGAACCTAAGGTGGCATGTAGAGCCCTCTCTGCGGGCATGCTAGCTATCGACCCAACTCAGCTCCACCGCGTATCCACGCATGCCTCCCGCCAGCCAGCTGGTCTTTGGGTCTGTGCCAAGCATGCATGGGGGGGGCGCATGCAGGGGATGGGTTTTTGCTTGCATTCCATTTTGGGACCTCACACAGCACTTCTGCGTCCCGGTTTGGCTTCCAGGTTGATGCAGGAGGCCTTCCAGGCTCAAAACAGGGTGTGGGCGTGTCGCGTGAGGCCCCTGTGCCCTATTTTGGCTTGTAAAGCCTCCTGCACCAACCTAGAAGCCAACAATGGGCAAGGGGGGGGTGTAAGAGCGCATGCAGGAAGATCAGAGGGGGTTGCATGTGCATGCACGTGCATGCATGGGGGATCATGCACGCATGCGCAGGGGTGGGGCACACATGGGAGTGTCACATGCACATGAACAGGGCAGGATGGGCGGGGGGTCACACAGATGCATTGTATTATGGGTGTGGGTGCGTTATCGTGTGCACATGCACGCTTTTGGCACGTGATGACAAAAAAGATAGCCATCACTGGTATAGGGAAAGTATTAACCTTGGAGAATGGAAAAGAAAATAGGTATTATTTTCCTAGCAAAAAAGCATTTACAGGTTTACTTCCCTATGATGTTACTCTGCTTTAAAAACCTAAGTGGTTATTTAGTGCATGAAGTAGCCACTCCTCCATTATTCTTATAACATCCATGCATGATTTGAATCTTATTTAGGTGAATCTACAGATCAAATTGAAGGTTCCCCAAGTTGGCCGCTATGTAATCATCTTTGAGTATGTCACGGATCATGATCTAATGTATGTTGGTAATATAAAGACTGAGAGCATTGGACAAGAGATGGAGGCTAAAATTAATATATACAGCTGCAAATATAGGTGAGAAAAGTGTAATAAGTTTATGTTTTGGGCTTTTGTCATCTAAATATACCTGTCTTTTCTTCCTTCTTTTCTAGGGTTCTTAATTTCCAATGCATTCCTTTTCTTTATCTCCTTTATTTTACCTGATAAAAATAGTACTCTAAATAATATGTATATTTTTCAGGCTCAATTCTTTGCCTCTGCTTTCAAGGAAACAGTTGTAGTTTCTTTCTCATGCAATTAGACACATAATGTTAATTAAGAGGATTTTTTTCCTTGCATAATTGAAATGTGGATGATATGTAAAAACTTAAAATCATTCCTGTTACACTGAAAAGAATATAGAAATAGTTTTAAAATATTAAATATCCTCAGCAAATTTAAGCTAAAAAAGGGCAGAAGATGTTTCAGATTCTACTTCTTGATATTAATATTATTATGTTTGCATCCTGCCTAGGGGGATGAATTCCAGAGGAATGAAAGGCATTTTGATTGCTATCTCTATTGTTGAACTATAGCAATAATGTAAGCGTTTCTTTGTATGATCACTCATGAAGACTGGGAAATGAAACCAGCAGTGGAATTATGGGCAGCTGTATGAAAGCATAAATTGGGGTTTTTTTAAATCCTATATTCCTAGACTAAATACATACTTCAGCACATCTTTTTCATTAGGTTTTGAACACACATCTTTAGCACTTTTTTATACCATGGATTTAGTGACTAGACTCCTATTGTATCCCACACAGTCCTAAAATCTGTCTACCCTGGTTGTGACTCTTGTTCAAATCAATCTTGTGTTAACATTTTTGTCATGTTTTGGAAAGGCATGTATTTGTAGAATAGTCGTAGATACCAACTGTTTCACAGGCCTACCGTAGAAGAACAAGCTGAATGGTGAACTGAAATCCGTAATGTGCATGTATTGATTGAAAGCAGTGGTTTTTTTAAAAAAAATCACTCTGGGCTTCTTTATTTAATTTAAAATTGACATGTAATTCATGCATTTGGTGATAGATTCATAGAGAAGAAGTTCAAGACAGAAAAAAGACAANTGCACTGCCGGTTTTTGATCAAATTTTAGGATTTTCAGTGCGCCTTATGGTCGTGAAAATACGGTATATATTCTCCAATTGGTTTGCATAAACACAGAGCTGTTGCTGCTTGACAACTGCTTGAAGAACATTTCCAAAATATATATATATATACTGTGTATATTTTGCTCCTAATGCTCTGTTATTATTTGTTGATTCTACCTTCCATATCATTATTTTAATTATCTCTTGCCTGGTTTTAATTCTCTTTTGATACAGTTATTTTTCTAGCACCTTTTCCACTAGATTCCCAGCATCTGATTTTCATGCTGTCTTTCTTTGAAAATTGATGTCCTTTTTATCTGTGCTATAGAAGATTATTGCAATCTATTCCAGACCCAAATTTCATTTGTATCTTGAATGTGCAGGAGAACTTCAGGCACACCAGCAGCAATAACTTAGTATCTCGAGACGAACTGATGATGGTCCTGTCTAGACTAGATGAATTACAAATCCGAGGTCTTTACTTCTCAGAAACTCAGCGGTTAACCTTGGGCGATGTTGGTCTGGAAGAAGCCACCAATACAGGAAATGGTAATATCGCTTATGCTGTAGAGGTGTGTTCCTGCCCTCCTGAATATATGGATGATTCATGTCAGGTAGGAATTTTCTTTTCTTTTTGTTCTGCATCATCCATGAGACATCACTCAGGATAACAATACTAATTTGGCTCTAGCAACAGGAAAATATTATTCACAATGCTTTGACTTAAAGTGCAGCAGAGACCTACTTTGAACCATATTAGCAGTTCAGTGAAAAACTGTAATCTATCCACATAAACTGGTTGTATAAGATGCACCTCCCCCCCTAAAAGAGTGTGGAAATGTTGGTGCGTCTTATACACCGAATACAGCCATTTTTGGCCTCCCAAATCCCTGCCCTTGCATCCCATTTTTCAAAAAAACAGTTGAAAAACGGGCCATTTTTTGCACAAAATAAAGGAGGCATTTTTACCTTCCCCTGGCCCCCAGAAGTACTCTGCAGGCTTTAGCAGGGCTGAGGGAAGACAAAAATGCCCCCCCTTTTTTTGCATAAACAGATGTGTTTTTTCCTTCCCCCAGCCCTGCTGAAGCCTACAGAATGCTCCTGGGGGCTGGGGAGGACAAAAACTTTTTTTCTTACTTACCTCTTTGAAATCTTGGTGTGTCTTATACACCGGTGCATCTTATAGTCCGAAAATTATGGTACATTTATTCATAGACATTGTGATTAAAAAAGCAAGGTAAGCAAACATAAAATAATAGATAAATAAAAATAAAATAAAATGTAAAGCCATCATAATGTAACCCAGTTAATATATGGTTCTAAACTAAAATTTGCTTAATCATGGTTTATAAATCTTTGTGAGTTTTTAAAGGATGTCAAATGCACAAGGCTTTTCTTATTTTTATAGGCAACTAACATTTAAGATGCAGTTTGTCAGGTTAGAGTGAAAAAAAGTTGCACCACTTAAACTCCTTTCTTCTATGGTGCTATTTTGTCAATCTACCATTACCCTGCTTATTTGGTATTATTTCACTACTGATTTGGCAGCATTGTAACCTTTTGCAAAGCAAATATTTTAAAGATTAGCCTGTACCGGTCTCAGTTTTCTCCTCAAGTTATAATCTGGGCTTGTTAAAAGTAATTTTGAAGACACTTACAGTTTAATTTTAAAAAATGATTTTATGGTCTGTGATATAAAATGTTCAGTTGATCAAGTGACAAGAGTGCCTTTAAACTCTCCACATTGCTTTTCCTATTCCCTAAGTATACCTTGTCGGGTTTGTGGCTTTGTTTTCTCTAACCTAGTGAAAATACATAGCCAAAAGGTAGACTTAGACACACTCCAGGAAGGAACACACCCTCTCAACATATTTCCTCAGAATTACTCAGCCTGTGATTTACAGGGCTGTTTCATCGTCTAGAACTGTCTCGCTATGCTCGGGAGGGAAAAGGTGATGCCTGCCACACCTTAATTCGGTGATACGCTCATTTTCAGAAGTTGCAATGTGATCATTAACATCAGGCATTGCTCTGTATTGCACAACCTGACTCACGTACAAAGTTTAAAGGAGGAGCAGATCCGGGCATACGGATATAGCCAAGAGGAGAACAATACGAAGTAGCATAAGGGAAAGTGCTGTATAATAACAAGGGCTGGGCGAGGGAGCAGCTCAGCTTAACGCTCAGCAAAATGAGGGCTGCAGGATGGAAGCTGTGCAACCTTGGGTGGCTGGCCTTCTGCACAGGCCTGAGGCTGTGTCTGGGACATGTTTCACAACAGAGGATAGCCTTTCCACAGCTCTTGGGCCAAGGGCAACAGCAACAAGGTCACTGGGATTTTAAACCAAGACAGGTAACCACCCTTCTCTTTCTCTCGCCCCACCTATTCTTTCATTTTGAACTTTTTAAAATATCCTGATATGAAAGCCTTGGGGCCAAACTGATTTGTTTCTTGATAGCTATAATCGACACTGGAGTCTACCAGTGGAGGAGGTCAGTAAATGGTTAGTTTGCTTCCTTTTATATTGAAGATTGTAATCCTTGTATCAAACATATGAAAAACAAAACTGATTAAAGCTACACACACACCCCGCCCCTGTGGGGTTGAAATGTGGACTGCAAACATGTCAATATTCAATTGGGTGCGGTGCTGTCTACACATAACAAGTTTGAAACCTAAGAAATAGGGTTTTTTAAAAAGCTCCCAATATGGACATTTTATATGAGGAGCATTTTTTTCCTTTTATACATAGGTGAAAAATATTGTTTTTATTAAGGCTGCTGTTTTAAAACGGTTTTAAAGCAGTTTTTTGACCATTTCTCACCAAATACTTGATGACTCAGTTTAAGATGATTAATTCCTACATAATTGTCCCTAACAGTTTCCTATGTCTTTATTAATAATTACTAATTCTAATTTAGCAAATATCTTTGCAATGATCTCCATCTTAAATGTCCATTCTACTCGCTTTGCCAGCATAATTGCCTAGTATACTCATGCACAGAGAATTACTAATTTGCAGAAGATTCGCAAATGTCTTGATTTGTTTATGTCTTGTAAGGCAGTTCATTAGCCCAATATTTACTAATTGGAAATTTGGATTGTTGCATATAACTTTGTTCAGTGTTAAATGCTCATTGGGTTCAGTCAGAACATGTTTAGTTTGATTTTGCCATAGTACAATGGAACACCTAACATAATCCAGTGGTGGATTATGTTTTAATGAGATATGTGAATCCAGTCAATCTCGCCAAGAGAGAAATGTTTTTTAGATAAATGTGAGATCTACCCCTAATTGCAACTATTAAATGAATCACATTCGCTCTCCATTTAACTTAGCATTGATTGATAAATACCAGTGAACATCTGTGGATCTTCAAATGCTACTGAATTGCAGCCTCTAGCATCATTGAGCATATTGGCTGAGGCTGTTGGGATTTGCAGTTAAGAAATATCTGGCTGACCATAGATTTACCACTGTTCTATTATATTTATACCCATAGATTCCATTAATTAAATATTATACCAAAAGTAAATTAATGCACCATGAATTTAATGCACCAAGATTAATACAGTATATTCTAACCAGTTATTAGTGGAAGTCTCATTATACTAGAAGGAGTAATTATTTTTTTAGCCAAAAATTCCACTAATATTCAAGCTAATCTCCTAAACTAGTAGTTTTAAAGGTATGTTTTTGCGTAAATTCACACACATAAATAGGTGTATCTGAAAGTATATTCCCTTGCTCAACTAATTCACTATGTGATTTCCTACATAATGGCTTTATAAAGATGGACATGTATATTAAATGTGAACAGATTAATTAAACTCCAATAGGAACATCGAATTGGTGAATTATTTCAGTGGAGATGGTTTGTAGCAGAGATGTTGAAAGGAGGGGTTCTAAACAACTATTTTTCCTGTAGCTTTCCTTCTAAAATTGTCTCCCACATAGCTTTATCGCTTTGTATAGTATCCAGCATGGTTCCAGTTGGCTACTAAACAAGAGCTAAGACACTTGTGGAGTATAATTATAGGCAAGGCAGAGGCTGCAAAAGGAATACATGAATCTGCTATCTATTAGAGGTCGTGACTTGTCCTTTTGATGAGAATAATCTAGTGTCACAAAAACTATGGAAATGGTGACAAAGAAATTCTTCTGAATTGTTTTCATTCAATTCACGAAAGATATAATTTTACAAGTTATCTATTACTAGATTATACTGTATAAGTTATCAGAGACATTTTAATTAATGGATGTGACATTCTTGCATGAGACACTAAGATGTGTTTGTGTGTATGAATGGCCTATCTTTCTGTGGGGCAATCCCAGGTCTGTAACTTTTGTGGCTTTTGGCACTTGAGTTAAATCCCATAATCAGAAAGAGGTCAAAGACAAGTCCAATGGGATATGACACTGAAATCTTTCTTCCATTTATTTATGCACAGAGAGAACGTGGATTTGTACAGTGTTTAATATAGTTTATTGCACAGTCCAACAGTTTAGACTGATTTTACATTGTTGTTGTTGTTGTTGTTGTTGTTGTTGTTGTTATTATTATTATNAGACTAAATGAGGCATATGGTTCTCTCGCCTCCTCCTGTAGAGGAGTTGCAACAGTTACAGCTATCTCAATGGAAAACAAATTGCTGTAACTATTGCAATATGATCATAATCAAAGCAAAAGGCTGAAGTGTGCATTGACACAAATGCTGTGGTATTGTTAATGTGCTGTGCTGCGTTTTGTGAACATGTGAGGTGGGTAGGCTTCTTCACAGCAGTCTTTATAGTCTACATTTTTACTAACAATGCGGGAAGGCTTTTAAAATTTTCTCATTGATTGATCTGTCCTTTTTGAACTAAAGATAGGAGGGGAATGTAATTACCCACTTTCATAATTTTCCAAAATTCTTAGTTCAAAAAGCATTTCACAGTGTATATAAATATGTCTCTTGAGAAATATATTACTGGTAGAAGGGCTTATTTATATGCAAATGTGTATTTTAAAATAATAGGACAATATGTAGGATAATATGGAAACAGAAAAGAATAGAAGCATTCATGCCGATCAGAAATAGACTTTTGGTTTCTTATGGTTCGATCAAAAATATTGGGTACATTCAGTGTGAATCATTTAAGTCCCACAGCAATAAAATTTGTGTCAGCAGACTTCAAAGATGTCTGTATGGAAGGCCCCTTATTTAAACTGACAGTTGCATAATGGTTGTGGCAATGGCTATTATCTAGTGAAGAGACTTAAAAAATTTCCTTGCGAAAGAGATAATTTTAGTATCATCTGTGCTATTGAGTATTGAAAGACCATGGAGAAACTGCTTTTGAACATTTACAGCTATTTTTCCTCTCTTTTACTGCAAACTTTTAAGTGGAAACATTTAATGGTTTATTCCAACTGACTTACAGGAGAATGTTGAAGGGGCGCAATGTGACATGTGCCGTTCAGGATCGTTTTATCTGGACCCTGCTAATCCCAAAGGTTGTACTACTTGCTTTTGCTTTGGAGCCACCAATATTTGCCACAGTACAAATAGACGTAGAGTCAAGGTATGCAGTGCTACATATATTTTCCCCCTTTGGAGATCAGATAGATGAGCTAGCCAAATATCTGTGATTGGAGTTTTGCTTTGCATGTTAAAAGCAATGATTGATTGAGGCTGAAATGAGCACCAGACCTCTGAATATAGGGTAGTCAGGGGACTGAACTGGCTACACACAAATCAGTAGTGGCTTTCCAGATGCTAAAACTGTTCATTCTAAGAAACAAATTTACAAGAGTATTACTTTTAACCTTTTAAAAAAAGGAATGACAGTCATTACTACTTTTCTGTCTTCTGTCTTTGTTCTGAGAATTTTAAGATGCATTTTCTCCTTTCCTGTGTCTTTACGTCATTGCTGTTCCTTTTAAAGTCATTTCCATGCTGCTGAGTTTAAAGCTATTGGGTTTTTTTCTTTAGCTTTCAGCAGGTTTTTGCAAAAACAGGTTGCCTTGTTTGTTTGCCATGAACAGAAGTGTTAATGTCTGTCACAGTTGCAATGCCCAAATTGTATTTCTTTTCTCAGAGACCAACGTCTCTCGGGAAATTTTCCTGCTTCTTCAGAAAACCACCTCACTTGTAAATCAGGACAGTTGACTTTCCAGCATTTACTCGATGTTGCTGGGTAACTTGCAGAAGGAGTTAGTGAAATGCATCCATGTGACTGATTAGTATGCTCTGTGCCACTGCATTATGATACAACTTGTGTCTTGATGAGTGGACAATTTCCCCTCTGTGATGTTGGAAGCAGATTTACCATAGGTAAATTTTACACAGCCAGTATTTTATAATGGCAAGAAAAACTTTTGTTTGTGGTAGGAATCAGAAAACCTCCATCTTGCAAATTAACTTTTGTGTTGTGGGAAAACCTTAGTTTAAAAGCAAAAACTTTTTGTGTCTCTCCTCTGTTTTACTATTAGCTCACCGACATGAGAAACTGGCATCTGGAAGCAGTGGGTATGAGTATGAGTATTCCTACAACTTTCAATCCTATTAGCAACAGTGTTGTTGCTGATGTCCAAGAATTACCTCCCCTTCTGTACAATTTATATTGGGTTGCACCATCATCTTACTTGGGGAATAAGGTATATGATCTTTTCTGTAATATCTGTTAAAATTGTCCCATTATCAGCTCCAAATACTATTTTCTCTTATCTTTTTTATTTTATTTATAAAAGCCAAATGCAGACTGGGCTCCAATGTGGAAGATTGTAAAGCATCATTTATGAATTATAACAGCTGGATTCATACAATATGCTAAGCCAAAACCAAACAAATTATAGTATCACTTAGAACAAAGTGAATTCAGGCAAAATACGTTTCTAGCAAGTGACACTCTGGTACATCAATAAACAGATTTTTAATCACAAAGGTTTTTTTTAATTTTCTTGACCTCTCTGTACCAATATGGGAAATGCGGTTGAAGATATTGTGAAGAATAAATATTATCTTAAAGTATAAAAACCAATTTCTGTATTTCCTGTAATTTGCTATTTAGCTTTCTTCATATGGAGGATATTTAAGCTATCAGTTAAAATCCTTTGGTTTACCTAGTGAAGGCATGGCTCTCTTGGAAAAAAGACCAGATGTACAACTAATTGTAAGTCAAATAATGTATATAAATATGTATGCATCATCTTAGCTTTAAAAAGTGTTTACCCTTTACCACTCATTTTCTGGGCTTACATGGTGCTTACTGCACAGCCACAATGTGAAGATATGAAAGTCTGAGAAGTCTTTATTTGAATATGCCATTTTGATAACTCTTGTGCCTTAAGTTCTACTAACTATCAGGAAAATGCCTTTTTTTAAGAGGACATGTCTTATGATATATGGTTATCTCAACAACCCACTATAGTGGCAGTCTAACTATGTTCTTTGTCCTACTTTTTCTGGTTTCTTTGACCACAGGTCTTGGCATATTAATACTCTTTGATGCCTCATTAATGAGCTTTCTTATGATAGCCCTGTGGTCAAGGCTAGTGTCTGATGGGCTCCTACAGGCTATTTTATGCTGTTCATAATCCCTTCCTTATATTGGCACTGCCCTCCATGGCGTTTTTAGCTGGGCTGTAAGAGACACTGGACATGGAGTTTCCATGAGGGACATACAGTATAAGCCTAGTGTTGTTCCCCAAGTGCTGTTTAGACATTATCCAGGTTATTTAAATGCATTGATTGGTTGATGGATGGATTGATTGATTATGCATGACCATGACAATTGGTCCTTAGCCTGGTCTTTCAAGTCTCCCATCAGTGCACCCATCATTGCTGTAACTGATTCAATCTATGTTGTCTCTTCTGTTTCCCCCTCTGTTTCTCATGAAGCATGGTAATTTGGTACATAAGTACAATATTGTACTTACATTGGATTTCAACTATTTTTCCACAGGGACAGGAGATGAAAATATCCTATATAGATCCTAATAATCCTTTGCCAGACAAGCTGTATTATGGATCAGTCCAATTAGTTGAGGTAAGAATAATGTTAACTCACTTTTGATAAGTTATGTTATCAAATCTTTGCCTATTTTGATCCAGATCAGAAAAAGCAAACATAAACGTTCCTGCTCTAAGAATAATTTCCAAGACTGCAGTTCTGAGTATTCCATTGTCTATTGGAGAAAAAAAGCTTATAATCATGTATTAATTGTGCAGCAAATATTTTTGCACATGGTACATAATTAATCTCTCTATATGTGAGAATAATTTCTGTTATAATTAATGTTCTAATTGAGAATGGCGTATTATTCAGTAAAGAGCCAAGGTGGCGCAGTGGTTAAATGCAGCACTGCAGGCTACTGCTAGATCAGCAGGTCAGCGGTTCAAATCTCACCGGCTCAGGGNCAGCCAGGATTAGTGACTCTGTTTCTTTCTTTAATGTACCTGTTGTTAACCATAACCAAGTTTTTCCACTGTCGACTTTATCTTTTATTTTTTCCAGAAATTGGCCATGCAATGCTTTCTTCTGCCAACTCTCCATTCTTGATTTTATCACATCTTTTCTGTATTCTTGTTTCATCTTGTTTATTATTATTATTATTGTTGTTGTTGTTGTTGTTAATAATATCATCATCATCATCATCATCATCATCATCATCATCATCATCATCATCATCATCATTTCTCCACAAGCCAAAAACACAGTTTAGAATTTTCCCCAAAGGTTTTCAGTCCATCATAGTAATCAATATACTTCTATCATAACAATACTTTGGAAATTAATTGCTGATTGCTTGGAAAAATATTAATGAATAGTGTACACACACACACACACACACACACACACACACACACACACACACACATATAAGTACTCTGAATAGCCAATAAAATATAGAGTATGCTATCAAATTATAAATATAGATAGAATTCATAAAATATTTCATGGCAGACACCTGTAATTTAATATGTACAATTACTCTTTCAGAGTTCAAGTAGTTCATGGACTTTGAAATGGACATTGCTTGTGTTCAGTGATATCTTAGGCTAAGCAGAGGTGTAAATAAGCCTTGGCTATGCCTACCAACCCCTTCCTGGGAGAAATCAAGCTAACCAAGAAGTCTTCCACTAGCTACTGTTCTTTATTCTACAATTTGCTTAATAGCCTGAATTGTCCAGTATTATGGTTAACATCTGGATGAAAAGGAAAATTGTAAAAAGTAGAAGATTTCCCGACCTGTTCACCAGCTTGGGTAAAAAAAAGAAAACAGAATTTGTATGCATAACAAAAAAAATCTTACTATGTAATTTATTGTGTCTTGTCTGAATTCATCATGTAATATGTACTAATGTGTCAGTGATCCTGAACCATAATTAAATTTCTTTTACTTTTCAATATCACTTTAAAACAATGGATTTTGTAATCTTCTCAAAACATTATTCAACTTTTCCTTTCTCCTCTATGCATCAGGAATGCAGTCCAGGATTCTATCGTGAGACAGTGGGTCCATTTACAGGAAAGTGTGTTCCATGTAATTGTAATGGAAATTCAGATAGATGCCTGGATGGTTCTGGAATTTGTATTGTAAGTATTTACAACAAATGTTGCTGCAAGTGCTCTTATTAATTTCTTTCGCTTCAGGCTAGTAATAACTTTCAGAGAAATTGCTTGTGCCTGCAAAAATAAAAACATCTTTGAGGTATAGTAAAAACTGACATATCTATTACAGAAATATGTCCACAGAATTTTGTCAGCTTTGAAGCATGAATTATCTTCACTTGCTGTGCTTGTATGAATTTCATATTTTTTCTCTTTTAACAAGAGTTACCAAGGTTGGACTTGTACACAGTTAACTAAGCTTACAGGCTGAGATATGGTCAGATGCTAGATTGCTTCACTGTTTTCTTCCTGTGAAGAGTTCGTTTTAATTATGGATTTCATTGTGTATCAAAGCAATGAACAATAAAATAAACCAAGATGTTAAAAATGGCTTTAAAAATGGTTTCATTTCACTTTTGGGGCTTATTAAGCAGTGGTCATATATATGTAAGCATGGAATGTAATAGCAGTTCTTGCCAAAGAATAAACATTGGCAGGATTAATTTGTAAGCAAGGGGAATGGAATTGGAAGGTATAATGTTAACCTACCCAGACATGTGATCTATACACAGCAGTGTTGGGTTTTGGTATTATTTCCTTTTGAAATTAGTCAATCAAAGCAAATATGTATAAAGGAGCATGATTGGCAATACTTGTTTGAATAAAAGTTCTAATTCAGGAGACAAGGCTTGCATGTTTTTGCATAACATTTCGTTGCCTTTTTCTCTATAGTATACTGAAAAAAAATTCTTAAGTTCTTTTTTCTTAAGTAAATACATTTGCAGCCTAGCCTCTTTCTTTGCCCACATTTTTTTTGTTCATACTTAATCATTATTCATTGCCTTACAGAGTTCTTTGACATTACACAATACTTTTCTTGACTTTGTTTTTGACAAATCCTTTTGCGTATAAATGTAGGAGCTGTTCGCCAAATCAGCTTGTTCCAAATAGGTGTGGATCATAAGGCATTTCGATTGAGGAACAGGCCATAACAAGCAAACACAACCAGCAAGAGCTAGATAGTGTACATTGCCCTAAGACAAGAATTTTCTAAATATTAACTTTTTCAGTATCTTTAATGCCCATCGTTGCTAACAGATTAGGTGGCACAAATCCACATGACTCTTAGATGGTAGGATAGAATGATGATCTAGTAGTTTTCTGTTTTCTGTTTTGCAACCCCAATTTGGTAGCCCTTATGATTATTCATACTGTATATTAGATAAATATCATATTTGCAATATATTTTTATAGCATACATTCTATCTGGATAGCTAGTTAGTATTGTTAGTTAAGTTTTCCTTTCCATTCAGAAATGCAACACTGAATGAGATTTTAAAATAGTTTATAAGGTGTAACTATATGTTCCTTTACATAAAAAGCAATAACAAATAATTTAATCAACTAGTATCAGGTAGACTTAAGAACTGTTCATATGGATCCAGAAGATATGGAGCCATGTAGCTTGAAGTTCCTCTCTGTTCAATAATGGCATATTATGACAGAGGAATGATATTAATACCAGTAGAGTAGGATTGATGATTAATACTGCAGTAGGATTTAATTTCCATGCCGGTGGGAGAGCTTTTCATTTTTCCAGTCCTTCTAAGCTACAATATGAGAACCAGTTTGAGTTTGGTCTAAAGGTTAAGTCACTGGACAAGAAAGTTGGAGATGGTGACTTCAAGTCCCACCTTAGGCATGAAAGCCAGCTGGGTAACTTTGACCAGTCACTCTCTCACAACTCACTTCATAGGATTGTTGTTGTGGGGAAAATAGGTGTGCTAGATATGTTCACTTGAGTAATTTGTAAAAATGATACAGAATGATACAGGTGGGTTACAAATAAATAAAAATATGCATCAACAAGTTACAAAGATCAGTCTGTAGGAATGTAAAAATATTTCAACCTCATGAGACAAATTGATCTTCAGTCAAATGTTCTATTGGTGAGCTATATCTCCATTGCTTTAAGTAGTGAATCTATAAAGCTGAAGATGACGATCAAAATATCAGACGAATTTATTCATTACAAGAACCTACAAGCTAGGTGAAAGCAAACTTTATTATAACTGCAAAAATCACTTCTACCAACAGTTTCTTAATTGTAAAACACCTGCTACTTTAAATTAATAATGTGTGACGATCTGTGTAATTATATTATGCCATTACTTCTGGAACTTAGCAGGAAACAATTGTCCACACACCCTTTAACCAGACATTAACTGGGTCTAATTTATTTGTTCAGTCTTGCAATAAGGTAAATATGTGGTGGCTTGGAACATATCAATGGCCATTTTCTCACATTGGTATTAATAATAAACATGAAAAATAAGACCACTGCTAACCTTCTGGTTTTTGTATATTTTAAAAAAGAACTGTCAACATAATACTGCTGGAGAAAAGTGTGAACGTTGTAAAGAAGGATACTTTCGAGATGCCAGTCAAGGACTTTGTAAGGAATGTCACTGCCCTTACACAAACAGGTACTCAGTTGGATTGACAGTGGGAAGCTGTATTTATTGTGCTTGGCTCAAGGTTGCCCTGGTGAAAATACTGTGTCTTTATGATAGTGAAAACAGCTATTAGATAATTCTATTATTTGTGCAATAAGGCTATAATGCACAAATGATAGAATTTTGGTGTCATTGTGGCTTGTTATGGACAATGCTGGTGGCATGGGGGGTAAGATGATAACGATCACTCGTCTTGAACATCTTCATATAAAATAAAATAAGAAATTTCCTATGAAGAAAAAAATCATAATGCAATTTCCACAAATTCCAATTTTAAATGCGTTTACTACAAAAAAAATAGCCATTTTAAATGAGATATTGATGACCTTGGATCAGATCTCCTATTGGATTACATTTTTTAAAGAACTATTGCAGTGTGACTCATGACCTTAATAAAGCCTTTACTAAATTGGTACCCTCTAGATGTGCTGGGCATCAATTCTCATAATTACCATAATTGCTAACTAACATCCTAACTGGGAGTTGTGGAAATGTAAATCTGCACTTTTGGAGGAATTTAGCTTGAGGAGAAGACAGGACAGAACACATTTTCTGCATCATCGCAACTACAATCCACTTTAAAAGAAATTTATGGTACAAGAGACTTGGCCTACAATTTGTCAGCTGGTTTGGCCTAAAATATATTTTATTTAGTTGATATTAATTTAAAATGTATTTAAAGCAAGTTCGTTGCTTTTACTCATTTATTTTGGCAAATATAGTGGACATTTCTTGTATATTAATTTAAAATGTATTTAAAGCCAAACTCATTGCTTTTATTCATTTATTTTGCCAGATGCAATGGACATTTCTTGTATGTCTTCTACTTTAAATATGATATGAGTGCATTAAAAATAATAGAAATAAAAAAGTGAATATTGGAGTAATTTTCTGAAAGTTTAGTTAATATCAATAAAACCAAAATAATGTTATGATGCCTTAAAGGCTAATTGCCTCATTGCACTTAAAAGACTTGGTTGTGTTTGCTACATAGTGTAATGAAATAATACCTTCACTTTTTTAGGGAAGGCTTGTATTTGCTTGATTAGCATAGAGCAGTGTTTCTCAACCTTGGCAACTTGAAGATGTCCGGACTTCAACTCCCAGAATTCCCCAGCCAGCATTTGCTTCTACCAAGGTAAGGCTGCATTCGCTGGCTGGGGAATTCTGGGAGTTGAAGTCCGGAGTTGCCAAGGTTGGGAAACACTGGCATAGAGCACCACATCTTTGCTGCTGAAGCTCTCCCTGGTTCCCTGCTGTTTATTTCAAAAAGAGAAGGGAATTGGGGCAATAATAGAGCTGGCTAAATGATGATTCTCCAGATGTTATTTGAACTCTAGTTGCCAAAACCCTCCAGCTAAGTATCACTGATGGGAAACAATTGTGGGAGTTCTAATGCAGCCATTTCAGGACGACCACGGGTTGACCTGATAATATTATAGACTGGGAAAAGTTGTAATAATTTTCTTTGTTAGATATGTACAGACAGCCTTTTATTTATTGCTCAATGATCTAGTGAATATGGAGATTATCCTTTCAACTTATAAAATGGAGATATTTAGATTTCTCAGGTAAACATGCCTGAAGAAAGAAGAGCAGAGGTTTGTTCTTGTTCAGTAATACAACATAATCCAATGTCTTTTTTTAATTCCCTAATTAATTATTGCACAATTTGGATTTCTAGAATGTTCTCAGGATTGTAAGGCTGCATTCTAATTTTGCAAAAAAAAAAAAAAAGGTGATAGGCAATGAAGTACAAGCAAAAATAGTTGCAACTTGTCAGAGACTGAAATTATTTATGTTAGCCTTTTAGTCGATGTTCAGAAAGTAACGTAACCCTTACATTATTTTTATTTCCCCATAAGCTTTATAAATATGCCTTAAAAGGAAATAAAAGCTATTTTCAGGTTTTTCATGTTTCTTTTCTTTTTTTTAATATGTAGTTTTGCTTCTGGCTGTCTGGAAGATAATGGAGAAATCCAATGTTTTTGCAAAGAAGGCTATTCTGGAAAGCATTGTGAAAGGTATGAAACTTGCCTCAATACTGATTTACTATGTAGAAAGTTAAGACAGACCTTTTCAATTGAAAACTATAACATATTGGAAAAGATTATTTTCTAAACAGAGACAATATTTTCATGCTTGGGCTGGAGTCCAAAGTGCCATAAGGGTTCTAAACATGTACATGCACACACATGCTCTCTTTAGTAAGCATAAGCTGCTGTCCTTGATTCAGAGTTTCAGAATACTCTGTTCATCCCTGTTTAGGACTATTTAATTAAATGTCTTTTGAAGTAAATTGCACAAGTGTCCAATTATGCATTAAATATTCATACTGTATCCACTGATGTTTTTCAACCTGAAGAATTGTATGAAGGATAGATGCAGCCCACAGAAAGCTATGTTCAGATTCTTATAATATCAAATAAGCTAAGTATCTTTTTGGACTGTACTGTCTTTATATAGGGCTTATCAAATTAGAGATACAATTAAAATAGAAAAAACAATAATATTGAGGCTTCCTAATATTTTACACTAGCCTATCTGTCAATATTCAGCAATATGTTTGGATTGACATGATCCTAAGCCCAACTGAAAATTGGTGATTAGTAAGAACAGAGATTTAAAAAGTAGTAACCAAGTAACTTTTGGTTTGAATAGATTCACTAATCAATGGAACTCAAGTGGATTATATATTTAATATATGAAGAGCCATTGACTTCAGGTTTGTATGCAGGGGTGGGTTCTGGCAGTCACTACTGCCGGTTCTCTCATGGGTGCGCCACATGCACATGTGGTTGATGCACGCTGTACGTGCATCTCAATACAATAAACATTGTTCTGCACATGCGCATAAGCAAAAAACAAGATGGAGGCACCTATGGCACTGCCTGGAGAACCAGTTCGGGGGCGTGGCAGGACTGGGTTGCTGCCAGTTCCAGCAACCCAAGCTGCCAAACTACTACCCATTCAGCTGAACCTACCACTGTTTGTATGTAAAATTATGATCTTCCTCTATCTCTTAAAAACTAGGAAAGAATTAGGATGTAGTCTAATTTTTCCACCGGCTATTTCTTAAGAATTATTTCCTTATTCAGTTCATAATGCATCTGTTTTCTACTTTAGCCAAATATATTCTGAATTGTATTCTTAAATTTTGCTTTGTTTGGTCAGTTAGACAATTGTAACACAAATTGTTTAAATTTATGGATGTGATGCAGATTTTTAAGCCAGTAAAACTGTTTCATTGTCAGATGATTTATATCAGTTATGAGTTTTATTTGTTCATTAATTTATTTTGTAGCTGTGCTCCTGGTTATTTTGGAAATCCACTGAAATACAGATACTGTCAAAAATGTAATTGTCTGGAGAATGGCCAGCTCACAACATGTGACCGCTTGACTGGGGGTATGTAAAGTGACATAAATATTTCTGAATATCAAAAAGGAAACCATAGAATATTTGAATATAATCTACTAGAAAGATTCCTGTGCAAATAAAAGTTATATTTTCAATTCTCTGTTTATAGCTCTTCATTCTTACTACAGTATAAAGATGAGAAAAATCTAGTTCTTCAGGTGTTGTTGAAGTATAAGTCCCAAGATCCATTGGCTGCTGCTATAATTCCATTGTATCTGAGAAACCTGTTTTACACATTTATGTTTTTAATGAAGTAATTAAATGTATTAGTTAATGTTTAAACAGCATAATCCTGATTTATGTGTCCTACATCCTACAGTTTTCATAGCTGATTGCATTTAGGTAATTTAGATATCCACATGAATTATGAATTTCTTCTATACAATTTTTATGTTAATTGTTTTGAAGTTTCAAGGAAGATAAACTTGAACAATAGGCATGGGAAATATAATAATATATTACTGAACTACAGCTTCTAGCAGCCTCAACTAACATGGCCAGTAGTGAAAGATGCTGAAGGCTTTAATTTGAATTCCCAAAAGTAAAATTGCCTAACTATTGTGGTTTTTTTCAAACAACACAATTATTTGCAGAATTGAAGGAATTCTAAATGCATTATATGAGTATGCATTGCATCAGTTATGATATTCCTTTCATCTAAACATTTCAGTTAATTTCAATAATGTGACTCTCTAGTTTTGTTTAGACATTTCTGAAAAACAAAGTTTGGTATAAGAAAAAAAATCATTAATGGATTATAACAGAAAATAAGCATTATTTTAAGCATACCAAACATTGGCTAAAAAGATATACCGTAATTTTGTCTAAATGAAAATATTAGTCTATCAACAACATTATAATAATGTCACTTTAATGAATCCCTTTATTACGGTTTGTATTGGTATGGGGTAATGACCATTCCCTAGGCAGCGACTCTAAGCCCAGTCTCCTAAAGTTATTCCCACATACCATTACAGATTTGTGGCTTACTTACTTGGTGCTTGCTAGTTAACATATATAGTATTAGAGAGTTTGGTGCTTTGCACCTTGATTTTTGAATTAGTTTGCCAGGTTGGTGCTCTTATTTCTATGTAGGATGTTGTATTTCAGCAACATCTAGAAAGCCAGAGGTTTGCTACCCAGCATGCATTATATGCACTCTGTATTACTCAGAGGAGACATCAGACTGGGGGCCAATTTTAATTAGACACGAGCACTTAACATTTCAAGTCAGAGTCAAGGGCAACTGTTAGAGATGAGCAAGAAAGTAGGGAAATGAACCAAAGAATCCGAATCATAAAAAGTAATATACAAGAAGTAGTAGAACTTGTTTCCAAACCAACAAGAATCTTTCCTCATCCAGAGCCAAAGGAGAGCCCAAGGACACATAGCCAGGCCTGTGTCTAAACCAATTTTTACTTGCCAAGGACACATATTCGACTTTTGTTTTGAGACTTGCACATATTTCTCAGTTCTAGTCTCTGAAATGTTTGACACAATTGAAAGGAAACCTGTTTTATCTGAATATATTATGAGGCTTTCTGTCTCAAAGGCAATGCTATTTTCCCAATTCCATTATGTAAACTACTAGAATTATATAACTGGGCACATATTTTTCAAACATATTTTAAAGTGCTGCCCTGCTGCTTAAACTAACAGTTGCTAAAACAAGTTCAGTCTCGATGCAGTTACTTGAGCAAATCCTGATGTCATTGTGGTTTTGCTGTGGTGTATTGAGCCTTGGTTTAATTGTGGTCATGCAGTAGCTTATTGAAATCTATAATTGCATACCTTTGGATGTTCTGGTTCCTATTAGGCAATGGCATGTCATATTTAATTGGCACCCTACTTTATGTGTCATGAGATAAAAGTGATTAAAAGTGATAGGCTACTTCGGTATTCAGCCTGGCTGGGGAAATTTGGTAGCTGGTAGTTCAAGTCCAGACATCTTAAAGTAACTGAGGTTGAGAAAAACCGGTCTACTTAATCTTCAATAGTAATATTTGCCTTGAATTTTGTATTTGGTTGTCTTGCAAATTGCCATAGCTTGGAGGTTGAAGTTAATGAGATGAGGTAATATTCAAAGTCAGAAGAAATCATAAGCTATAAGAATTGTGCTGCATATACAGATAGTCTTTGACTTACAACAGTTTGTTCAATGACCATCCAGAGTTACAACAGCACCAAATAAGTGACTCATGACCATTGCAGCATTCCCATGGTCACATGACCAAAATGCTTGGCAACTGGTTCATATTTATGATGGTTGTAGGGTCCTGGGGTCCTGTGATCACCTTTTGCAACCTTCTGACAAGCAAATTCAATGAGAAAGCCAGATTCACTTAACAACCACATTACTCATTCAACAACTGCAGTGATTCACTTAACAACTGTGGCAAGAATGGTCATAAAATAGGGCAAAACTCACTTAACAAATGTCTTGCTTAGCGACATAAATTATGGGGTCAATTGTAGTCAGAAGTCGAGGACTACCTGTATTATATTTTGTAGTATCTTATCACTGTAGTATGCTATGGACTGAATTGGGGTGTAGGAAGAGGACTCTGTTTTGAAAAGGTCTTTTGGAGTCTTGGCAGTCAGCAGTCTTTTGACAGCGCGGTTCCTTTAGAGGTCAGTATCCCTCCTCTTGTGAAAATGGAATTATGCTGGCAGGAGAGGCAGCCACAGTGTGAACACTTACATGAATCCAAACCCTTTCCTGATTAATAAGGGAAGGAGTTGTACAGGAGTAGCTCAAAATACTGCTAAATGTAGTGATCCCAAGAACCATAAATATGTTTATTTTGGTTGAATGTTTTGATTACATTTTACCATTTTTGTATTCTAATGCCACATCTTTTGTTTCTGAGCTCAAAGAGTTAAATCAGTGGACGAATTCAGGAGTAAGTGAATTGCCTTGTTTTCCTCCCTGCTAAGATATTTAGTAACTAATGCCTTGGATTTCTGAAGGGCCCAGGAGTGTGATCCAGTATTATGGTATAATTTGTTCGCATTAGCTTAAGCTATTATTTGAGGAAAGACAAGAAAGCAATGTGTAAATTTAACTTTGGAAAGAACTCTACAAGATCCTGTCAACTTCCTCTCTAATGTATTTTTATTGTAAGTCTCCAACTTTGGAGAGTAAGATGTGAGGCATGTAAATTAAATAAAGAAAAAGAGAAAGTAGGTAAATAATATTTTACAGTATTGATTCTAGGAACTGGCTTCCAATGTTTTTATCTACATAACAATGTGCAGCTTTCAATGGAGTGAAGAGGGCATCAATAACACTATCATCTTTCTGACATTTCAGAACATTGCATCCTGTATTGTTGCATCCTCTAATTCTAATTTTTTCTCTTTTTTTTTCTTTTAATTTCCAGAGTGCATAAGCCAAGAACCAAAAGACATAGATCCAAATGAAGATTGTAATTGTAAGTTATAAACTTTATTTGGTCTGAAAGCTTGCTTATACGTATAGCACTAATAAAGAGCTATGTTTTTAGAGATTAGAAAGAGCAATTTTGGTATTTTCTTGTGGAAATAAGCCTATTCAGAATAAGTTATCTAAATCCCCAGTAGTGAGAGAGAATCTCTCTGTTAATGGTGAGGATGCTAAAAGTTGTAATCCAACAGATCTGGAGGGCAGCAAATTAGGAAAGGTTGAACATAGACGAGAGACATACAAAGAATGGCTTCAAAGATTACATATATTTGGCTTTATTGTTGGTTGTATGGTAATATAGTGCAGACACACAGTTCAGTTGTATGACAAACATAGTTTTATGACACCATTTCAAAAGTTTTGTTATTGGTTTTAGTAACAAATAACATTTTCTACAAATATATTTCTGTCTCATAATTGTTTTTAGTAGACCCATTCTTTTTTTGAATATACAAAAAGTAACACTTTAAACTCATCCGTGTGTGCTCTTTTTTGTTTAGCTTGTGGCAGTTGTGTAATCACATTGCTGGAAGATTTGAGTACAATGGGAAGTGAGCTCCGAGTGATTGAATTTCAAATGCAAAGTATCAACACTAGTGCCCAACTGCTGGGCCAGATGAAGCACCTGGAAGTCCGTAGCAAGCAACTGGAGGTAACTCGAAAAAAACTGGCTTTCCATGGGATTGGGTTCACTTTCCAGAGGCTTGAGTACACTTCTGAAATATGCTCTAGAAACAGTTCAATAAGAGAAATGTCATATTCAGAGTTCTTTTGGGGCTGGAATATGGTTCTGAATTTTGATGAAACCCATTCCATTACTCTTTCTTAGACTACTTCATAAGAAAGACCCTAGCAGCCAATTCGAATTGGACTGTTTGAATGTATTATTCATGGATCTGTCTTAGAAGCCTTCTTTAAAATTTAACTCAGCCCAATTCCTGCACAACTTCTGATGACTCCACGGATATGTATTCTTGGCAGCAGTAGAGCAGTATTGCCTTCTTCTGGTTAGTTTGTCAAAAGCATAGTGCTAAGATTTTGCTTGAAATGGAAATAAATGAACTTTTAGCCTTGGATTTGATGACTAGAAGTTCTTATGTCTATAGAAGTACTGTACTGTGTGCTATGTTTTACTATAGTTCAAAGGAGCATTATAGTCCATGCTTTTATCTATACCAAAGAAACTTGGAAGTTACTCTTTTCTACAGGTTTTTGTCCCTTCTTGGCTGAAGTTTTGCTTTTTTCCTGTCCGCCTTTTCTCTCTTCAACTTTTTTTGTTTTTTGCCTTCTTGTTTTATATTTTTTTCAAGTTTAATAAAGTGTTGTGGGGAAACGCATCTGCTAAAATGACCATTTGTGATATCTTGTGGGAATAGTCATACCAGCTGCAAATTCATTTCCATGCACAATTCCCAATGACCCTGCATGATTGGGAGTCAAGTCTTTGATCTTCTCTCTCTTCTCCTATACGAACATCTTCTGAATTATTTGATCTTTGAAAGGACTTTTATGTTAGCCATGTATTCTGAAGATAGGGTGGGGAAACAAGGAGAGGATCTTTTTGATTGCAGCCCTTCACTTTTAGAATATCCTCAGGTAAAGGGATCTATTCTTTTGATTTAGCAAAGCAGGACCTTTCTAAATAATTGAAGCTAAATAAGAAAGTTAGAAATGTTTGGCTCTGCTCTTGCTAAGATCTTATTGTTCTGTTTTTCCTGATAATTTTAAATACATTGCTATGACATTTATTTTATTGCAATGTTAATCATAACCTTTGAGTTACCATCGAAATAGAAATACTATAAATTTAAATAAACAAGGCAACATTTCACAGAAAATTGTATATATATACAATTATACACACACACACACACACAATTATATATAGAATATATATATTCTACCAAATTCTGGGTAGGAGAATGTATGTATGTATGTATGTATGTATGTATGTATGTATGTATGTATGTATTCATTGTCCTACCCAGAATTTGGTAGATTTTTAAATCTATTGAAATTAGCATCCTTAAGTTTCCATGCATTATTCTGGCCCTATTGTAGATGGAATTTCTAACATTTCTTGTTCCCTCCTTGCTACTCCTTGCTATCAGTCTCAGGGCATCCAGGTAACATTTTTCTGTTGAAATCTGTCTTATGATTTAGTCATCTCTTCACCTATTAATGGCAGTAGGAGCTAATTTATGAAGTCTCATTCCAGCGCTTTTCTGTCCATATTTTCCTAATTCCAAATTGTATTTGGAATGTATTCAGTTTGCTGATTCCCATTTTGTTTTGCCTTTATTTTCAGAGTCTGTTGAATCACTCTCATTCTGTTATTAAAACTCAAAGCTCAAAGGTAGATGAACTGGAGACAGGTTTGTCTCACATTAATCAAAATATTAATGCTCTGAAAGAAAAGGTAAGTGTTTAAAACTTTTACATATTGCTATCAGCTTTTTTTAAATAAAAAATGTGTTTACTAATCATATTTGAGATTTGAAGAGTTTGTATAAAATTATAATAATAAATGTTGAAGAACATGTCTCAAGGTATCTTTAATAAATGGCAAAATGTTACCCTAGTGTCCATATTGTGCAAGGTGGAGAAATGCAGCTCAGATCCAGAAGATCTGAGTTCTGTTACTGCATCCTGCCGAAGGTATTACCTTCCATGTGTGGAAAAGAAATGACATCTTTTAACAGGCATTTTTTAGCCAGCTCTTAGAGATGAGAAGGACCCCAAATTCAAGCAGAGAGTGGAGAGGCAACACAATAGGATAGGCAGTGCAGGTGCCTCAGGTGGTTGGGGAAGATCTCTGTGTGACATCTCTCACTCAGGAGCTGAAAACCCTGCATGGATTTTAACAGGGAGGATTTTCAGCTCTTAAGCGGAGCTTCCAGCATCTCTCCCTGCCCTGAGGGATCCCACATTCTGTATCTAGTAGTCTGTCAGTTTAATGACCTTCATGATCATTTAATAACCACAACCAGGAGTGCCAGGACTGCAGTCATTGAGCAAAGCAATTACATGGGCAGTCATGTGACATCTTCCTTAATGACCACTTCACTCAGCAATTGAGATTCCAGGCTCAATTTTGGTTGTAAGTCGAAGACCGGCTATAAGCAAGATTTGTTCAGTGCAGTCTTAATTTCAAATAATCACTGAATAAATTGTTATAACTCAAGGACTACCTGTAATTGTATCATTTCTTTTATATTTCTGCTTGTCAATGTCAACGAGACATATAAAATTTATAAAAGAGTTTGACTTGGGGCATTCTCTCTGTCACGGTTAGCGAGAAACTTGATGATCATCACAATGTTCCCAAAAAAAGTATACATTGTTGCACCTATCCCCCAAAGCTTTGGTTTCTATCTTGAGTGATCAGATTTCTCACAAGTCATCAATACTTATTTTTCCATAATGTTTATTTATGTTTTATTAGTAGTATCTGTTCCTTTGCTTTTGTATCTTTATCCTTGTGTGATATCTGTTTAATCATTCTGATAAAGTTTATGCAATAAATGCATTTTATTAAAAAAAAACCTCTTTTATGAATAGCTAAAAAATGCCTAATTTAACCTTTGGTTAAATTAGTCCTATTATAATAGCAAATTATACTATGAAGATGTGTGTTAATAAAATAGGGTGTTACATAAACACCCAAATAAATCAATAATATTCAATACTTTTAAATTAAACTTTTACTAATGTTATGTAACTTTTAACTCTTAGGCTGAAGGTAATTACAAGAAAGCACAGAATCTTTTAAATAACTTTAGTAAAACTAATCAAAGAGGAAGAACTTTAATTTCCAAGATCCAATCTATTCTCATCCATATTAATGGTAAGAGCAATGTCTTTTCTTTTACGTTAAGGATGGGGAAATTATATCAGCCTGTGAATCAAACTAATTCTTTGCTAATTTATCCAGCACCATAGCCTCTGTTTTCAATTTGTTTTCTTTCATTTCTTTCTTTACACTTCATTTCAGCTTTAACTATTTTCTGTTTATATCAGTGGAAGCTGTTTAAAAACCTTATTGCAGTAGTAGTGGCAACAGATTTGAAGTCAATCTTAATTTAAAAAAAAGGTTTATTACTGCCCTTCTCAGTAATTGTTTCTGCAATAATAAGATTTTAAAACAGCTTCTATTCACAACAATTGAAGTTATTTAAAATCTCACGCAGGCAAAAAAAACCCCCACCGTTTATGCATAATGCCTCCTGATCGAGGAAAAGATGCAATTGGGGCATCAGAGGGTAAAATGTCTCATGGTTTTGTCCTTTACATGCTGTTCAAGAAGGAGCTAAAAATCCAGGACAACTTCCAGATTGCAAACCAGCTCAGTACATATATGTATGACCCCCACCCAAATAGGTAGGGTATAGGTAGAATATATCTGATTTCAGAACCTACAACTATGCCTTTGTAGATGAATTCAACCTGGGTCTGTTCCTCTCATCTATTTCCTAACCACTTCCAAGCACTGGGTTAGGATCTTCATCTCCTGTCTGTCCCGTAGAAAGTAGAGACATAGAGAAAAGCTGGATTTTTCTACCAATGATGATAGATCACCCTATGTTGACAAATGATATCTTCTAGCAGTTTAAAGTAAATGTTAAATCATAAGGGGAAATAGCTGAGCTCTACAATGTCCTATAATACAATGTGCAAACACTCAATTTCTATCCCTCACCAACTGGAAGTAGCTGCTCAGGAAGGAGGAGAGCCCCTTAGCCCCGTGATGGCTAACCTATGGCACGCATGCCACAGGTGGCACGCAGCACCCTCTCTATGAATATGCGTAGCCCTAGTTCAGCTTCACAGTGCATGCATGCGTGCCTCCTACTGGCCAGCTGGTCATCAGGTCTCTGCTGCACAAGCGCAGGGCGCATGTGTAGGCGAGCACGCATGCAGGGGTGGGGGGCATGCAGGGCCCATGTATGCATATGTGTGGGGGCCAGGTCTGTGCAGGGGGCGCATGTGAAAGTGGGCACATGCATGTGTGTGGGGTGGGATGCATATGGGGGCCATGTGTGCATTGTATTTTGGGGGTTTGTGTACGCACACGTGCCTTCATGCGTGCATGCACACACTTTGCTCCAGAAAAGATTAGCAATCACTGCCTTAGCCCTTCCATTTGGCCTGGAAGGATACCCCAATCAATGTTGGGTTTCATTCCCTCATCCCTGGCCTTTAAAAGATTATCCTCTAGGATGACCATTGCAGTTTCCATGATACCCAGATCTGAATTCTAGCTGTTATGATCTAGACAATCCATTTTATTCAGAATTGTCTAGATACTTGCAAACTTATCACCTTCTCTACAAACTTCCCTATAATGTGGATATTGGAGAATAGTAGTCTAAAACAGCCCAAACATTTGCTTTAAGACATGAGGCAATTTCCCTTCCCCAAGAATGTATTTGTCACCTTCATGATAGCCATAACATCCATAGACGTTTTGAGTTTGACTTGTTCAGTTGTCCTCTTAATATGCAAAAAGGTCACACCTTGTTCATAGAAGAAAAAAAAAAGGAGATGGGAATATCTATTTGGGACATCTATCAAGGATGATATATTATTATTCTAGAGCCATGTATTCAGGAATAAGTCTCATTGAATTAAATTAACTTTACTTCTGAGAAGTTGTGGATAAGACTGCAATGTTTTGATAAGCCCCATGTACATTGGCAGTTTCTATCCACTGAGATAAATCAGGATGTCATTAATAATTTACTTATAGTACATTGAATGGAAAGTGCACCTTTTAAATTTAAAAGAGGGTTGCGCGTCTGCTTACAAGTTCTGTATTTCATCTGATTTTTGATTGGTTTGCTAGGGGTCTAGTCCAAGAAGTGGTTAGAGCAAGACAAAACCCAATTATAATTAATATAGTTAATTCTCATATATTTAACAATTTCCCAGTTCTATCACTACAAATTGATGTGACTTCTGGAGTGATTTGCAGCTGTCCTGAAGAGTGCATGTTTGTACTCCTACTTTAAATATATAGCACTTATCTTTGTAATAGGGTATGGTAAAAGTCTCTTACTTATTCAAATCCTGTTTTTCTTGTCTTAGTTCTCTTGGGACAGATAGATGGCACTTCTACAGAAGGATCCTCTTTTCCTACAGAATACTCTGCAAAAGAGCTGGTGAAAGCTCAGCAAATGATCAATGAAATGAGAAACCGCAATTTTGGCCAACAGCTAACAGAAGCAGAAAAGGAAAAAGGAAAAGCCCAACACTGTAAGAGCTATAAACTATACATAGTTTGGGTAGAATGGCTCAATTGGATTTATTAAGGTGGGACTAGATGGAGAAAGACTGTTTCCTTATCTGGAAATGCTCACCGAGTTTGTAATGGATGTGAAGGAAGCTGTAGTATAACAATGAAGAAAACTGGCAATAGTCACTTTAATAATGTTGTACTTTGTTGCTGCTTGAAACTAGTTCAGGACTTAAGTTGAGCTTTTGCTGTCAAATAATCTTTACAGAAAGTTTGGAAACATAAAGATAAAAATATACAGGCTAATTCCTATCTATATTTACATTTACTAGGCCAGCTGATCTACCCAACTAAAAATAATTTCATGATGAGAAATTGATTTATAGAAAGAATGTGAGACAAAAAGACTTGAAGGACCTAATGCTTACAGGTTATTTGATTCATTCCTGTTTTGCTTTATTCATTCTGTATAGTGCTAGATCGAATAAGGAATGAACTAGAAAAGCGTAACACAAACAACCAAGGGCTCATTAAAAGTGTGAGAGATTCACTAAATGAATATGAATCCAAGCTCAATGATCTTCGTGAATCTTTGCGAGAGGCAAAGGAACAAACCAAGCTAGCTGAAAACTTAAATGGAGAAAATGAACGTCTTTTGGAAGAGATTAAGGTAAATCTATCTAACTGTCTAACTACTTACTTATCTAGGCTTGTGGATCTTTATGCATGCTGCATTAAATGGGGAAAGCTTCATAATTTGGGGGAAAATTGGCAAAAACTATTGCAAATATTAATACATCTGTAACTTGTCTCAAGGCAATTTTGTAAAAAACCCAGTGAATTAGATTTCTCCTATGATATTTTTTTTTGCTATTTTATTTTTTTAGTATGTTATAACACAGTTTATCTAAAAGAAATGGTTAAGCAAAAGTTTAGTCATCTGGCATGCCCCAGCTCATTCTTTTTGTCCTGCAAATACCATGACTGACCCAATCATACCAGGACATGTAAAAATTGTTAGTTCATGTTCTGTTTCCATGCCAAATACCTAAGATATTCATCACTGTTTATTAAAAGAAATAGTTCTTCAGCAGTGGATACAAGGTAGATTTCATCCAGAATAGCATTTGATCTTGGTTGCTAACCAGAGAAGAAGAAGAATACCAAGTGGGAGGTCTTTCCTGTTAAAAACAGACAAGGAAGGGTGAGGCACTGGACTTATCTAGAGGCAGAATTAGAATTCAACCACAAAGTTGTCCTTGAAGGGCAGGAGACATTAGGTACAGAGCTTCACCCCTGATATTCATGTCATCATGGAAAAAGACAAAGCATAAATAAATATTGTACTAATCAGGTGGACATTAGAGGAGAATAGGGACTTCCTTCAAGTCCTTCAGGGCCATATAGACCCAGATGTTCAGTAGTTCAAGCACCTAACAGCAGCATATGACCAAGGAAGAAAAGAAAATCAAGGAGATCCTCATTAACCGGGTTTAATGTCAAGAAAAGTTACAAAGTTTTAGTTAAGTAGAAAAGTATAGACCAATCCTAGTTTATTAGTAAGTACATTAAGGTGGAGTGTTGATGAACTGTTTGAATTTCTTTCTCACCGAATCTTTAACAAATGGATTGACATCTCGCTTAAGCAGTAAGGCTGAAATATCTGTCTTCTATTAAGCTGCCATATTTTGAAAACCTCTCTCTTCTTTCCCAGGCTCTGAGAATTCCCATATTTCACAGAATAATGCCTCTGTTTAATTTGATGATTCATTTGCTGAAGAGGTTTTTTTCGGAAATGGCTCAAAAGAAAAACCCTTCACTTTCACACCCCATGGTCATTTTATACCAGATCTATCTTTCCACCTTTTAAAAAAATGTTATATTATATCCTCAATGAGTTAGGTATTGGCTGAATTTCGTACTTCTGAATGCTTTTCTCTTCTGGAATCTATCCAGCAACTTTCATCCCAATCATATTGATTCTAACCATTCCCAACTACTGGAAGAGTAGCTGGTGGCCCTTCACTATTTTTAGGAAGTTGTTTTTCCATTGTTGGCCCAGTCCTCTGGAATGGCTTCCTATGAGAAATGTGTTTGGCCTCGGTACTGGTAGAAGCTGTTTGAAACAAAGCTTTAATAGAAAGCATTTAGGAGTTGACACCAAATCGTTTGGAGCAAAAATCAGCAACCCACAGCTCTGGGGCCACATATGGTTCTTTCATCCCTCTGCTGTGGCTCCCTAATGCTCAAAATATGTGTCACAACTGCACCCGCTGGCATGCAATTTATTGAGCTTTTCGACCCTGGTAGGCCAACCATGGATAAATCCAAGAAAAGAAAAGTGTCAGAAGAAAACAGAATGTTTAATTCAACTACGTATGCTAGTTTTGTGGCCATTCAGGAAATAATCAGGAATGGGGAGGGTTTTGTGACTCCCAGTGTTTTATTTTCTGTGGGAAACGGGTCCAATGGCTCTTTGAGTGTTTAAGATTGCCGACCGCTGGTTTGGAGTTTAGATTTGTCTGTTGGCTTTTTTTAAATAAAATTTCTATTGTTATTGTTTTTTTTCTTTTTATGTTTTGAGCTACCAAGAGTCTGTGTATGATTGTGGCAGTATATAAAATCATATTTAAATTAAGATATAAATTGTAATTATACTATGCTATAGAACTTTCTTTTGCATTAATAAAAGGAATCACTGTTTTATTTTTCTATCAGAAACAGACAGAAGAGATGACTACCCAACAGAGTGCTATAAGGGATTTTCTGAATTCTGCTAAAGCATCAGTGTCTCAAACAAACAATATATTTGAATTGTTCCAGAAGAGTAAAGAGGTAAATTTGAAAGAATTAAAGTTTCTATAAGGCTGAAAAGAGGAAAATAACATTCATATTATGATAAAATAAGAATATACTACCAATAATGACTTGGTTTTGTAGATAGTAGTAACTATTTGCAAAATATAGGAACTGTTACTACTCCCATATGAAAAGGGAATCTCTAGCTCATTTGCTGTATGTAATCTTCATGTTGTGTTCAAAAGCGCAGCCATTGGGGTTTATGTAAGAAGTTAAAACAAACAAAAGCTTGCCACTTATTTCTTATAGATATGTTATGCATCTTAGTCACCATGCATAAAATTCTCTTCTAATTCCAGGAATATGAAAGCCTAGCTGCCAATTTGGATGGAGCAAAGAAAGATCTGGATGAAAAACTGAAGAGCCAATTCTTATCGTCCAGTAAGGAACCTTTGGTAGTGAAAGCAGAAATGCATGCCAACTCTTTACAAGACCTGGCAAGAAAGTTGGATGAGTATGTCTTCACTTTTGTAAATTAATTGTTTTAGAATGGTTTATTCCTTGCTTGAAGTGTTTTATACATTGGACATGAATGGTTCCCTTCTGGTGGAAAGGCAAACTATGTAGTTATGCTGAAACTGATTTAAGAGGAATGGGGAGAGTGCTGTACTGTATTGCAGAAATGAATGCCATTTAAGATGCTGGAAGGAACAATTAAGTTGTGCCAAATGCTGCATACTCAGTGATGATGTTGCCACCTTCTTAGAATATTTATTCTTTGAATCATGTAAAAATAACAATATAAAGCCCAATGCATATTAACATAAATAAAATATTTTAATGAAGAAAATAATATTTTAAACAAATTAATAATGAAATGAGTAAGATTGTTTTAATTTTCTGCAAATATTTTCAATATTTGGCTAATAATATTGATTCTGCAGATCCCTAAGCTTTTGAGGGCCTCCCAGGGGTTCTTGAACTACTCTTTAAAAATACTGGTTTAGGCTATGCCTTCTCAGAATTAATCCCATCCAACCTCCAAAAATATAATTGGTGATGAAATTATACACATTCCCATTTTTAAAATCTATTTCTTGAATAGATTCATTTTTATTTCATATACACTTCTATTGGTGATGGTCTCTTCTTTAAATGGCAATATTTCAAATTATCATACAAAATATGCTGTGTTTAATACAGTTGTATAACGCTAGACCATCCATCCCTTTTCTTCCTCCCCCCCACTTCCTTCCTTCCTTCCTTCCTTCCTTTCCTTCTTTCTTTCTGAAAGCCAAAATATCAGATGAAGTATTATAATTTTCTTGATACCTGCACTATGTTTCCCCCTTCTCCACAGACTCAAGAGGAATGCCAGCAAGAATGAGCTAGTGACCTGTACTGTGGGAACTGCTAGTGCTTTTGAGAATATTTCTGATATTATTCGAGCAGCAGAAGCAGCAGCCAACAAAGCATCAAGTGCAGCAGATTCAGCTTTATCGGTAAGAGTATTCTAAATGCACATCATATAGAATTGCTTAATTTTTAAAAAATACAAATACATTTAACAAAAGAAGTAGATCTGGGATATCAGCATTGTTTGGGAAGGCTAAACGTAGCCTGTCTGTATAAATTCTGAAGACAAGATTTTAGTTGTCTTTAATGACCTCCCTGCCTTAATGTAAGATGTATGCAAAGAGGCTGAACATGTTCTACACTGCAGGAGAAGATGCTAAAGAGCAATCTTAGCAAAAGCTAATTCTGTAAAGGAGTACCAACCAAACTATAAGAAGACCCCTAGAACTCATCTGAATGCAACTTAATGTGCTATTTTAATTGATCTTTTATGTCTAGAAAAGAATAGTCACTGTAAACCTAAATCTCCAAGGAAGATCTGGTCTGATTTTGACAAGGTAATGGATGTAGAACTACTTTCAGACCACCCTCCTCCTTCCCAGTAGAAAAATAAACAAACTTAACATGTGATCTATTGCACTTGTAGGACAGTAACAGATTGAGGCGGGCCTTAAGATCTTACATAGCTTATAGAAACCTGGAATGCAGTTTCTAGAGATCTCTCAAAGTTGGACTAAATTGTAATTTTCAATGTGACTCTTGGGAGAAATGATTAGAGACCAAAAATATTAGCTTTATGTAGTTGTTCTCATCAGAGTGCTGTTTAATTAATTTTTGTCTTGGCTTTACCAGCTACGTACCATCTCGATTTCCAGATAATTACTCTGCTTCAAATGAAATTTATTGGGGAAAAAGATAGCATTAATTTACATTTGTAATTAGCAATAGCAATACCACCTAGACTTATATACTGCTTTATAGTGCTTTTACATCCCTCTCTAAGCAGTTTACAGAGTCAGCATATTGCCCCAACAATCTGGGT